CCTTCCCGTTCCCTCTGCCGCTCCTCCTTCTCCAGCTCCTCCTCCCGCGGCTCCTCCGCCCCTTCGCAATTCCCCTCCTACATGCCCTCCCACTCCTCCTTTTCCCGCTCCTTTTCCCATCCCTCCTCCCGCTCCTCCCGCTCCTCCCGCTGCTCCCGCTCCTCCTCCCGCTCGTCCTCCGCCAAACAACGTGACAAAGATCCCGCCATAGCCATCTCCTATGAAAAAAATCGCCCCTCCTGCCGCGCCTCCTCCGCCCCTTCCCGTTTCTCCTCGTGCTCCTTCTCCCGCTCCCAACCCCCTTCCCTTTCCCCCTGCCGCTCCTCCTTCTCCAGCTCCGCCTCCCGCGGCTCCTCCGCCCCTTCGCAATTCCCCTCCCGCACCTCCTCCCACTCCTCCTTTTCCCGCTCCTTTTCCCATCCCTCCCCCCGCGGCTCCTCCGCCCCTTTGCAATTCCCCTCCCGCACCTCCTCCCACTCCTCCTTTCCCCGCTCCTTTTCCCATCCCTCCTCCCGCTCCTCCCGCTCCTCCCGCTGCTCCCGCTCCTCCCGCTCCTCCTCCCGCTCGTCCTCCCCCAAACAACGTGACAAAGATCCTGCCATAGCCATCTCCTATGAAAAAACAAAAGAAAAATGGCCAGCCACGTGGCTAGCCGCGCGCGCGCGCGCGCGAGAGAGAGAGAGAGAGAGAGAGAGAGAGAGAGAGAGAGAGAGAGAGAGAGAGAGAGAGAGAGCAACGCACCCGAGGACTCACACACGCACACACTCACAGACATACACACACGTGTAGTATGTATATTTTCATTTCCTAGCGGATCGGTTTTGCTGATCCCATCAATGCACGTAGCGTGTGGCCAGCCGAGGGGTTGGAGACTTATCCGTTCGCCAGTGCGTCGATGGAAAACTCTCTCTCTCTCACACACACACACACACACACACACACACACACACACACACACACACACACACACACACGTGTAGTAGGCATATTTCATGTCCTTGCGCAAGATTCATTCAATTTTGCTCATCTAACGATGCAAGCATCGTGAGGCCAGCCCAGGGGTTGGAGACTTACCTGTTCGGCGATGCGTATCTCATC